AAAAAAATAAGAAGAGAGAGAGATGTGATAAGCTAGAAATATAGATCGAAAAATGATTGGTGTGATTAAAAGTTAAATATGTATGGAAATGTGTATAAAAGTAAAAAGCATTAATATATATATTTGATTGTTAAAGAATAAAAATAGTGGGTAATAAAATAGGAAGAAAAGTTTGTTAATAAAGAATATCATAAATGTGATGTCATGCTCACAAATTTTAGTAGGAGTGAATATAAGTGATCGGATTATCCAAGGCGTGACGGCGTCGACGGTGACGCTCTATCCAGGGGCTATGTTAGAGACTTTTAAAAGAAAATAACTGCATTAGGAGATCTCGGACAGCATCACTCCATTCTTTGAGATACTCAGTCGGGGCCACGGGACTGCTAATTCGTCGTTTGAAACGACTCAAGATTACTAGGGTGTCTTGACTCTCTTCCTATCACATGGAATGTGATCTTGCGATAGGGTAGATGGCTCTTCCTACTCGATACGCGCCAAATTGATTTATCAATTTATAAACTACTTGGTAGGTTCACCTCTTTAACAGAGCTGCTTTGTGTAGCACGCACTGACCATTTTTTCAACTTCGATATCGACTGGGACGCCGTGTTTGTGATGGCTTAGTAGAGATTCTGTCGCACCTTCTCCACAGGCAAATCCCCCGCTCCCTCTCATCTGTATTATAACTCGATTATAGCTTGTTTCTCACGCGTCAGGTGGACCTCATGATCGGAACATATATAAATCGCTAATACATGTGAATACTACGGCGCACAGCGAGCAAGATTTCTGTTGGTTCTAAATATATGGCAAGATATAAAAGATTAGTGACTAATAAGCTTAGATTTCCGGCACTAGAGCATCCAGAGCGCCATTGGGTCCGGACCTGGAGGAGATTCTGGTGTTAGTAAACGGATCGAGAGGCCTATTAAAGGGCAAGCTATGCATATAGAGGCGTAGTTGTACAGGGAATTCTAGATAGTTGATATGTGGTACTCACTAGTACGACGCTGATGATACTTAAACTAGTGGCTCTATTACCTCAGATCTGGGAATACCGATATATAGCTTATGGTGTGTTGAACGACCCAGGTGCCATTGAAGAATCTTGTGGAGGCAGATATGGTGATATGGTGATATCCCACGGCTCGGCCGTCGTTGGGGAGTCTTATCATCATTCTACGCATACGCAGTTGTAAATGTATTTGTAGTATAATTATGGAATTAACTGGGAGTAATAGGAATAGAGGTAGTAAGAGGATGATAGCATTATATTTGACAGGTAAACCAGGCTCAAACTCTCACAATTAATAGATAGGTGGAAGGGGAGATAAATAGGAAAAGAGGAAAAGAGTATGAAATGAAATATAAAAGATTAAGGGAATAGAAAATTGGCACTTCGATCAAATTCAAGCGAGCTCAGGTAATTGGGTGGATATAATAGGTAAAGTGGGGAAGTATAAGATTAGGTAAGCGCTTAACCTCTATTTTATTCATAATAACACTCCGAGTACCATCTCTACTGGTTTGACCGGCATGGAGTGACACCACGAGGGTACAGGTTATGTCGCCTGATTAAACCGTGCAGGCTACGATTGTAATTCAGTTGAATGTGATTTGTGTTCGAGTCGTGATACACATTAGGCATTGCCTCTGTCGTAAGCTTCGAGACTGATAGAGTGGTTAATCCTCCACGAGACCATTCCACTCAGTGCACTTGCAGTCGTTGAAATTTGCGGCATTGGAGCGCACTCTCGTAGCGACATCCCACCTCCTTTATCGGCATCAATACCCTACGATTAATTGCCGCGAGACTACTTACATGTCGCAGTGCCAATGAGAAGGTATTTATAAAGTCAGGAAGAACTTTCGCTACATAAGATCCCGAGGCCGAGTCGCGACTTCCTCATTGCTTTTGGATGAACGCGTGCCTTTTTCCCCACGGGTTCGGTGGGGCGAATAACTGGGGCCCTAGGCACGGTCCGGATTTCCTCTTTGCGTCCGGCATGGCCGGCTCTTGACGGGATCTTGCGCCGGCATTGAGAGAGCGCAGGGTGTCCAGTCACGGTGACTACCAGAAGTCCACTTTCTTTATGCCGGCTCAAGTACCACGCTACGGGACGATCGGTGGCATGGGCCAGGGTACGAGGCACATTTGGGGTTGGATCACAGTGTGACCAGCGACTTGTGAGGTCAGTCCTGGGGTCGTCGCACTCTCCCATCACTTTATCTTACCCACATCGTCCGATGCCGCACCAGCTCGGCGGTGGCCACGGCCAGCGGCTCAGTGGTGGCCCATTCTGCACCAGGACGGCTCTTATGCGTCTCAGTGACTGCATTTAGGACCCTCGACGAGCCAGTAGCCAAAGCGCTCTTCCCTCCCCTTTCCTCCAGACTCTTGATCTTTGAGAACTCCCGCTTGCGAGCCTCCTCCAATTCGCCATCCACTTGACCCCGTAGTGGGCTCCCCCGTCCATGCCTCACACTTTCCGCCCGCTAGACCATCTTCCACACACTTCCGTACTCCATGGCTAGGGCCAGTATCCTTCCTGTACGATGCCTGTCCTACGGCGTCTTTGTATGACCATGGGGCATTGTCCCCGCTGCCGCGTTGGTCTCCACTCCGTGCCCCCACCCCGGACACGACCGACCGCATTCCCCTCCACCCACTCTTCCTTGTGAGGATTGCTGTTAGAGAGCGGCTCCACTCCGCTTCCTTTCACGTGGCCTTCGGGGCCAGGTTGTAATTTCACCTCCGGGCCTATCGTCCTGTTCGGCAGTCCAGCTCCCGTACTCTCTCGGTTCTCCCCATCTGTGCCTTTGGAGCACCTTCACGTCGATCCACGATCCACTTGCAGGCAGCCTACACGCACATCTCTCCTCGCGTGCTGCCCCGCGCGTTTTTTGGCACAGCACCCGGTGACCCTTCCTCTCACGCGGCCGCACACACCCCTCCCCCTGCCGCTGAGGACAGCCAGCCGACCGACCAGCCCTACTTTGCGATCACGGGGACCAGCCTGTCGGGCTGCTTTGTTTGGCATTGCTAGCGCATGTTCATGAGTGTTCGAGGTGTTCCTTACGGTCTCTCGCCCCACCCAGCACATCCGCATTTTGTCGCGTCCCCCCAACTTGCTCTACTCTCTTGTGCTTGGGCACTGGCTGTCCTCTCGTTGGCCCTTCTTTTGTCTCCTAATTGGCCATGGGACGTTTCTGGTGGACGGACTGCTCACCATGTTTGGCGTCAGGCTGCAATTGACTCATTCCGGAGATGGATCCCGCATGGAACTCTTTGCTGGTCTAAATGTGGCCCTCTTTCCAGGTTCTAGTTCATCGATTGTTGGTCTGTGGTTCCCACTGGCTAACGCGCGACTACCGGGACTAGCATCACCTGCTCTCCCTTGAAGCTTCATGCTATGCTCTTCCCGAAGTTGTTGGCGGATTGCACGCGATTCCTTCCAATTCCCACCCGGCCGGCCCTCCAGAGTTCGTCCAAGTTATGTGGCCGCGCGTAATATCTTGAGGCGCTCATATCTCTATTTGGCCGTCTGGTTCTACTCCTGGCGCTCCCGTTGGGGCACCAGCCATCCTCGCCCCCATCACGCGCGATGCCTCGGGCGTTGTGCACTGTGGGCCAATTGCCCATGTTTTGTCCTTCCCTTGCCGGATTGTCCATGATTTCACTTCACCCGGCTTCCTGTCATGGCGTGAGACGACGACCCGACCGTACTGACTGCTTGTATTCCAGTCCCTGGAATTTCCGTTTGACTTCTGGTCCGTTTCCAGTGACGTTGCTAACTCGTCTCACCATGTGTCTTCACCTGTCCTGTTCTCGCCTTTGTTTGTCGCTATCTGCCGATCTACTGTATCGACTTCTGCACGGTTCTCCGTTGGCGCTTCCCGTCTGGTGGCTCTGCTATCAGTTATATATCACGGCTGGGATCTTCACTCGGTCTGCCCTCATGCCTTATCCTGTTTCCCCATTCCACACATGGCCTCTTCTCCCCGGCTGGTGGCGGTCTCCACCGCCGGCACGTGCCAGACGCCTCTGTTGTTGTACGTGCGATGGCCCAGCCGAGTCCGGTTTCCTCCACCCATGCCCCACAGCCACAAACATACCCCCGTGATACCACCGCCCTCTGCCGTCGCTGGTCCGGAAATATCCTCCCATAGCGGTCTTCGACTCCGCGCATGCTTTCCGAGTACTGTGGACTCCTGCGCTGCAATACTCAGCAGACACCGGAATGTCACCGTGCACACATCCGGCATGTAGCAGTCCCTCCCGACTGGCGGACCCCCGACTGCACTTGTGCCCACTGCATTTCCCCGGCGACAGCGGCAGCCGGAACTGGAATTTCTTATTCCCTCTGCCATCTCAATTCACCGTCATTCCCATTATGGTTCCAATACCTCTGTTTCCCTACGCAAGTATTCCCCTGGGAACTCTTTGTGGTTACATAGTTACGCTCATCTTTAGGCTGCCTATGATTCTGCGACCGTCAGTACTCTTGTGTGTGCGGACCTGTTGCACTTCGAGGCTTCCACCCCTCTCAAGGACTCTTCACGTTCACGGTGTCGAGCTGTGCGTTTTGGAGTTGTTATGTCCCAGGAGTCGCCCGTGTGCTGGACATCCGACCGTCCGCGCTGCTCCGCTAAGCGCTGTTTCACCCGCGTTATGTCAGCCCGAATCAAGTCTGAATCGGGCACTCCTGCCAAATTGCCGTGATGGGTCAACCGTTCCTCAAACACCAGCAACCACTTGGAATCCTCTGTGTGACCTTCGGAGCTTGCCAAGATGATTGCATGTTCCGGAGTCCCCAACGACACATCGGCCCGATCTATCTCAAAACCAGCCGCACCGCGTCGCAGGCCCTGCGGGCACCATCTGCTTGTCTCGAGGTCCGCGCCCGCCGTGGCAATCCACGCGACTCGTGCTTGACCGTATGTTGTCGAGCTGTTCGGCCTTACTCGGCACACCACATCACACACTTGCCCGCACCCCCCAGCTACGCGTGCTTGCGGCGCCGGCCTTGCGTCTTCCCACCCCGCCTATTGCCCCATCGATTGCTGATCGTACAGTTCTCCTGGGGCGCAGCCCCTAATGCTCGCTCTCCTCGCTCGTCGATTTTCCCCCTGGGCCGTTAATGCCGTGGCCGCCTGCACATTCACTCCGCCTGATTCCCCCATGTGGCTATATTCGTGCGTCACCCTGTGTAGCGCACTCTCGCCTGCGTTGGCGTGTGCCTGGTACTGCGATGCTGACTCATGGTAGACGCGCCGTCATGACGCTCCCGGAGAGTCGGGTCTGCAGCCGGACAGACACCCCGAGTGCATTGTTGCATTCATCCAGCTCGGTGCCCCTGTCGTCTGGACCTCCTTGTTGCTTTGCGATGCCGGCGTGCAACTGGATTAACACGGGTGAGCCCTCCTGCGCGAACACTTCACTCCACCGGCCGTCGGTCGGGGCCGGTACTGTAACCCGCTCGTGATTCCCACACGTGGCCGATATTACCAGCGGCCCCCTTTCCAGAGTCTGCCACTCGGCGTGCTTGTAGTCGACCGCGTTCGCCACGTGTTCTCAGTGGCTTGTCGGGCTCACGCCCGGTATTCGGTGTGCGAACTGTGTGGCTACAGTAGTCGGTTTTAATGGAACAGCCCTTGCTCCACATTCTTCCCCCTGCTGCTTGGCCTACTGATACGGATTCTACCTGGACATGCTCGCGGACCGTGCTTTTACTTCTTACTGTCTCTTGTGCGTTGGTGTCTCGCAACGCACGGGGCGGTTTTTCTTGTCCTCTCTTGCCCCCCCCGCCCCAGGGCACGTCGGGGGCTTTCCCCTTGCCGACCGCACTTCCATCCCCTACTGGGACTGACATGTGAATGGCCGAGGTTACGTCGCTGCGGAGTGCCTGACTTGCCAGCCACATGTAATACTGTCGCTACGATGTCACCTAGGATTCTTGACGCCTCGCGTAAGACACAGTGACGCGACACGTTGCGCTGTCGCTTGATGTGGGCACCTCTTGGCTCGCGGATGTTTGCGACTGAATCTCGCGTCCCCCTGCCTTGGCACTCGGGCGGGTGGCCTTCGTGCCTGCCGGCCTGATGTTCCCCTTGTAGCACTCCGCGCGTGGTCCCCTCAGATCCCGGTGGTTTACCTTGGTCTGTACCGTGAGCTGGAGCTTGCACCAGGCAGGTTTTTGTGTTGGTGTGGCGCCTCTTTTTGTCTGCCAGTCGAGTGTCGTTCCTCGCTAGTTTCCCTCGTTAACGCCAACGCATTTCTTCCTGTAGAGCCGCTTCCCTTTTTCACCCTATGGAACCCGCCGTCCGACAACGCTGCCCACCCTCTGGTCCACACTTCCAAACCACCACTGGTCCTCCTCTTTGCTTCGTCTTCCCTTCGTCCGCAACGCTGCATCGCTTGCAATCCCGTGATTTCTTGCAGGTGCTCTTGGACCGATGAGTGGTTGTACGTTCGATACTAAAGCTGTAGCTTGTTCACCCTGACGCCATGCATTTTAGTCAGATGAAGACCCCTGCTATTGGTTGCCTGTCAGCCCCCCCGCGTTTTCGCCGCCTGCCAATTGTTTGTTTGTGCTGTCGCCAGTTGGCACACGAGTCGGCCTGTGCTGGCCCGGACAGTGCCTCTATCAGTGTTTATATTTCCTCCGTCCTGCCGTGGCAATAAATACGTTGGCTGTGACACGCATCCGTTTGTGTACCCCAAGTGCCCGGATTCGTTGCACGCACAGTTATTTTGCGCTATACCACCGCCTGGGGGCCCGTTTTGCATGCTCCGGGTCGGGATTGGTGTGAGTGCTCGGGTCTACAGTCCCTCGGTCGCACGCTGGTTGGCCCTTGTTGTTTTTTCTTAGCTTTCTGTTGATTTCTTATGGGAAGACCATAGCGACGCTAGACATATGGTTTTCCCCTCCGGCCGTACACCGCGGCCGATCGCTGCGCCGTCCAGGCAGGCCTGCCCATGCGGTGAGTCTCCTGTCCCGTGTGCTTTTCGTCTCATAACTCACTGCCACGGGCAGCGCCCGAGCCAAACGCTCTGCTCCCATGCTTCCACTCGTCGTGGCATTGGTGACAGCTGGGCTGTGCCCGTAGTACGTGGTCAGCCTTTTGGCTCTTTAGCACTTTCCTGCAAGCCAGGCCATACGTGACTCGTCTGCCCGGTCTCCCGCCACGCCTTCTCCGTCCTTCCCGTCTGGTCCCGCAAACTGATTGTGGTCAGGAGTCCTCCTCTACTCTGATACCGTTGGTTGAATGCTTTTGCGTTGCTGCGTTGCTCTCCCCTGCACCCACACCGACGCCCGCTCCACACACCAAGTAACGTTTCACTTATCACTTTCCCCGCACTCACGGCAGCGTTGCACGGCGTTCCTAAGCGCGCAGCGTTTGCTTTGTTGGCCACATGCTACATCTTGGTCCACTGCCTCATTTGCATGCACGGATGCACGGTGTCTGTCCGATTTTGCCCCACCCGCCCCGACGCGGCCTCCCGAACGCGCCCGTGGAGCTCCACGCTCGCGACCCACCCGATGTTCACGGTGCATGGCCACTAGCTCGCCGCAATAGACTTCTCATTACTTTTGACCTGCTGCCCCATGCAGCTTTTGCTCGCCTGCAGTTCTCCACCCCCCCTCCCGACACTGTCTGTGTTACTCTACCTGATCCCCCCCCTCCCTGCGGCTTGGCGAGGCCCACCTGGATCTTCTCCATTCTCCTTGGTCCGCACCCCCACCCATCTCCACCGCCGTGGCTGGCCTCCACGCTCGCTCGACCCCCTGCCCCCAGACGCGCACTTCCACGCTTGGTCATCACGCTTCCTCCTGTTCCTATGCACACTCCACTGTCCAGCTCTCCCCGTCCTGTTCTCTCCCCCCTTCGCCACCCTCTTCGCCTGGCCACGTATACGCCTGAGTTGTTCACTTCATGACCCTTTGATGTTTCCTTATTATCCACCGGCGCTTGCATCCACCAGCTCTTTGTTCCATTGCCCTTCGCGCGGTTCCGACTCGGCTTCCCTTCGCTCCGCCCAGCGCCTGACTATGGTGGGTCCCCATGGTGCCCTGTCCCGCCACCCTACATCTGCTGGCAATGGACTTTACTTGCTTCGCATGATCACGACCACAACCCGCTCATTTACCCCCGCTACACCGCCTGGCTTTGCAGAGACTTGGTCTGTCCCTCGTCCGACGCCCCACACTGCTGGCCCGCCCCCCGCCTGCCTTGTATGGGATCTGCCTTATGGCCTCTGCTGCTGGTTTACTTGCACATCCATCTTGCCGCACAGACGGCTGTCCACGACTCATGTTCAACTCATCCCCGCGGTGTCCCCACTGCGCCGGCGCCGTCCCACTCGCGGTGTTGCACTGGTCGTGTCCCTGTAGCTGTCGCGGTGCCGCTGCAGTCATTCCACCTGCCGTTCCTTTCTCCTGGATGGTTGTGGATGGACCCTTCTCAGTTACTTGGTCATCCCGGTTCCGTCTCCCCCGGCGCCCTGGTTTCTTTGTTCCCTTACTCCCTGCTATCCTTTGTTGCCGAAAGTTAGATCTCGCTAGCTGCGTCGTGTCTCCTGACTGGCCCAGTCCCGGATTTGCCAATCCACCCGTTCTGCGGTTGAGGGGGAGGGGGGACGCTGAACCAAACACACGTGCCTAAGAACACCACAGTTAAGGGTCCATGTCAACCCCGCATCATACCACACCTCCACCACCCCGCCCCTCGCCAGGAGGCATGCTCCCTAGACGATCCCCATATTATTCGTTGTGCGGTGTGAGAAGAGTTTCGATAGTCGACCTCTCCTCCGAGTGACTGTTGCCTTCCTGCTTGGCGCGAATAACCGTTGCCGGCTGGTGATCGGACCCGCGTTACGAGCTCGCCGCGCTGCCCCCATCTTCTTGTTGTTTACGCGCGACCGCTGTCGAATACCGGCTGCGTCTCCTCCCTGGTCTATTCACGTCGGCCGTCGCCCGTGCATGCGGCCCCCCTCGCTCACGCCATTTTGTTTTGTCCTGATGCTTCTCTGTCCTGCAAGACCGATGCCTCACTTCCTTAGTCTCGCAAACCTTGTTTACCACTTCCCCCACTCGACGTCCGCGGCCCAGCACTGCCTGAGCCTCCCGTACGTCCCCCGTCGCTCACACGCGGGCTAGTTTTCCAAATCGCCCGGCGCCGTATTTCGCAACCAAGCTTGCGTCGGCTGACATCGTCACGAGAGTGCGTCTCGATCGACTCCCCACACACGCCCTCACCCCCCGCCCTTTGTCGTCCGGTTGGCATTTTCTCTGTTGCCCCCTATGCATTCCTCACGAGCGCAGAGCAAGTCACTGAGAGCTCCGTGCTCACGTATTCTTAACTTCGACCTTCCGTACACTAAGTAACCTACATGGTCGATACCGTCCCCTGACCTGATTCCAGTGCAGGCTCCCCGGTATGGCTGTCCCCAGCCGTCCTTTGTGGTCATTCTGGTTGAACCTCTTCCCGTTCTCGCCGGTTGACCCAATCTTGCCCGCGTCTTCTATCCACCTACTCGCGAGCGAGCTCGCGCTGCCGCTATCGGTGGGTTTGCGCATGCGGCCGTTTGGTTGAAACGTTCACTCTCTTCAAGCCCCTACGAACTCGTACCCAGCATGCTCGAGCCACACTTTTCGTTCCAGTCCGTTATTAAGCTTTGCTCACCGTCAGCAATCCCTCTCCCTGTTACCTTCTGCCCTACCGGCGAGAACTCTTGCGGCCCGCCGTCGACTGGCCTGTGATGACGCTCCCCTACATCGACGTCCGGCAGTCATCTTCAGCTCACCTCGCCCTGCATTTGGTGCTCGCCTATTGCCTTCGCAATTTGCACGATTGACCCTGCTAGTTTCCATCTTCTCGCACATGAGCCCAGTCTCTTCCGATTCCTGGGTGCCTCAGTTCATACTCCGGAGGTACCTCTAGCTCAGTGGCCTTGAAAGCGCTTTCAACATTCTGGCTTGTCGCTCGTTCGCCCCGTTGTCCTTGATCCCTCATTCCACCACCACCCACACACCCCGTAAGCGGTCGCCCATCCTCCTCCACTTCACAGGCGGACTTTCGCAGCCCTTAACCTTTTGCATCGTCCTTCGCTCCTCTCTTCTGCGATTGGTTTGTGCTCGTTGCACTGTTTGCTTTGCTCGCTGCCCGGCTTCTGAGCCTTACCCGCACACCCCCTCGATGCACAGGCTCTCCCAGCCCGCTGGATGGCGCTGCTGCTCTTGGTCCTGACCATCCTTGCTGCTGGAATCACGGCCTCAGTCCCCCCGTTCTTTGCCACATGTCCACGGGCCCACTCCCGCGCGCGTGGGCTACCGAGCTGACTACGCGGACCCCCACACTGTTTGCACCTCTCGCCGCCTCGCTGCTTTCCACTGCTGCATGTGCTTTTGCTCGCCTGTACTTCTCCCACCGCTCACCCGCTGTCCCTTGTACTTCCCCTATCCCCCTGCCTCCCTGCCGTCCTTGCAGAGCCCTGAGACTCCTTCTCCCTCGCTCCTATGAGGTCTGGCCCCCCCCCCCCTTCTCCTTGCAGTGGCATGGATCCCGCCTCCGCTCGCCCACACCTGCCACCGCCCCCGCCTTCCAGCTTGGTCTTCACAGCTGTTCGGTCCCTGTTCCAACTGCCAATCCCCCTTCCGCTTTACTTCTTTGTCCTCTCACCTTAAGCTACCTCTCTTCGCCATGGCCTCCCGCCAGTCCACTGCGGTTTGTCCCCATCTGGAGCCGCTTTTTCCTTTCCGCCGGCGCTTGCTCCCGCTGCTGGTCCGCGCCTTCGGCTGTCCCAGCATGCGCTCATTCGATTCACGACCACCCACCGCGGTCGCTACTCCCTTGGACAGTTTGTCGTATTCGCCGTTGTGCCGCCACCCCTACCCTATGCGCCTGGACCTTTCCCTGGTTTCACCTGTGTCCCCCCCCTACTTTCCCACACCCGCAACTATGCTGGACTCCTGCGGCGCTGGTCCGCCATCCCTGCCCTCGCCGCCCACAATGCGACACGACTGCACACTCACCAGACCCTGCCCCTCAGGATCCAAATCTGGTTAATGGGCATCCCTGGTACTGGGCTGTGGCGGCGTGGCCGTACTATGTACTCTCCTTGAATGGCCAGAGTCGGGTCTGGTTCCACACCGACCTACATGTTCCCGTACTCCCACGGTGTCACTGCCGGCGACCGTACACCATCGTCGTGCTTGCCCTGGTCCGGTGTCCCCGCAACGTCGCCTATCCCTTTCCCCTCTACTTTCGCCACTTCCTGTTGACCCCCTGTTAACTCGGTCTTTCGACCACCATGGCTGCTTGTCCAAGCAGCCGCCCGCACCGCCGATCATGTTGGTGGGCCTTCGTCCCCGCCTCCCTGCTTGTGTATCGCTGCACTCACCCGTCTTCGTTGCTCCTTGCGCCCGCTCAGCTTTGTTTCGTGCGCGCCGTGCCCACACGCCGCAGCTTCCGTGCCTCCTGCCGCCTTCACTAGCTAGAGGAGCTCGTCAGCGATAAGACCTCCATTCACACTTCGGCTGTTGTTGTACGTATCTCGGGTGTTCCACGCACTCTGATTTCGCCATCTCATCACTCGTCCTCCTCGTCGCTCACTCCTCTCATTCCCCATATCCCCTCGCCCATTGTTTGCGTCGGCACTCTTCTTCGGTCCTAGCCAACACACGAGGCCGGTCTTATCTCTGTGGCCCTTTGGTAGGCGATTGTCTAGCCTACCCTTAGCTTCCACCGGACGCTCGTTGGCAGTATTCGTCTCGGTATCCCACGTCGCCTTTGCACTCGGCGGTGAGGTGTTTTCTGCCGCGAGGCGACTGGCAGCACCGTGCGGAAGTTTTGATGGCCATGTGGTCTCTCACTGGGCCTCTTGCGCACTCTCACCACGGTCGTCCGGACCGGGAAGGTCTTCGAGCAGAATGGTCGACTTGCGGCTGGGCGGTGGAGGTGTGTACGCGGGTGCCTCAAACTTCGAAGGAGTGTTCTCCACACGGATCCCTCTGGCGGCTTGGGGCGGCTCCACTGTCCTGGGACCACGTTTGCCATTTTTAATTTTGGGTGCTGGGACATCCTCCAACTGCACTCCCCGGCCACTGCCGGCCGTCGATTGGGAGGCAGATGGCTTGGAATCATCGAGCCAGACACTGTTTCCCTTGCGACTGTCAATGGTGCGTGCCGATTTCTTCTTTCTCTGGGTGGGTTGGGGAGTATCTTCCATCCAGACACTATTTCCTTGGCGGCTGTCAATGGTAGTCCTCTTCTTGTGCTGCTTCGGTTCGGGTGTTTCCTCGAGAAACACATTCTTTTGACTGTTTCCAGCACTATTGGAACCTGCCTCATTCACCGATGTCTCAACGACGTTTCCTCTCTGCGGATCTTGCCGAGCGTGGGCGGACTGCATGGCAAAGAACTCTTCTTCGGTGAAGCCTACATAGCCAAAAGACTGCAATTTTTCCTTTTCCGCCCGTCCTTCGGCACTCATTTCCACCCTGATTTGTTGACCAATCTGTTGTCCAGGATTCTCTCTGGCTTGTTCGAGTCTCTTGACCAAATCCGTCTTTTCAAAGCAATCGTCGTAGTCGACTCCCCACGAATCGAGTTCGTCCTTGATTTCTCGGACTCTCATCTTGGAGGGATCTTCACCACTGCTGACAGGATCGGTAGTAACTACGGTCGTTGCCTCACGAACCGTCTCGATGGGTTCCACCACAATCACATCCACTTCTCCCATTCGTGAAGCAGAAGCAGACTGACCCCATGAGGGTTTCGTGATATCACCATCATCGACAAAATCTTCTTCGTCAAAGTCGTCGTAATCATCCATGTGCAGGACAACCCGTTCTCGTTGGTTCTGCAATAACTTCTGATGACCGACGACTGGTCCTTGCAACGAAAAGGCGTGGGTTGTGGCGACGAGAGCCGCAAGAGCGACCAATGGAAACTTCATTTTCGTGTCTTTTTTGATGTATTATTACTTTTCAGCCTGGGGGATTATAAATGAATTGACACAAGCTGCTTGCTTCACAACAACTCCAACAACAGATGTGACAGGTGGTCGAAAGACGTCGTCCTGTCGAATGAGAATAGAACTGGGCAACTCAACCCAGATGCGGACGAGCAACCAATGAGACGACCGAGCAGACGTCATCGCACACGAAATGATGAAAATGACGTACATGTAGAAATCAGTAACGGTGCGACAGGTATCCTTCCGCACAGCGCATCATCCAACGTCATTCACACGTTTCTGACGTCATGATGTCACGCCAGGTTGTGACTTTCGCTCTTCGCTCTGAAGGTCTCAATTTTGACTATTTTATACCAAAACCCAAAGATCTTCCCAGCCAAACACCTCCAATGGGTTCAAGCAACATGTTTCAATGCTGCTGAAAGTGGACATTTGGAAGTGTTGAAGTGGGCTCGTGAAAATGGTTGTCCATGGAGTTACATGAGCGACATGTGCCTGTGCTGCTGTTGAAAATAATGAACATTTGGATATTCTAAAGTGGGCTCATGAAAATGGTTGTCCATGGGATGAAGAACCGACATATCGAGCTGGAATGACCAAAGTGAAGTGATCCAGTGGCTAGTACGTGACAATGGCTGCCCTGAGTCTCGCAATGACAACGAATGACACTACTATATCAACACATTAGAAATGGCTGGTAAGGTTAGAAAATTGAATCAAAAGTAGAAATTAGCTCATGTTTGCCCCTACCTTAGGTATCAGGTATCTAGCCACTTGCTTAGTGTGGCATGGGTGGAATGCATGGACAACTCAGAGCAGTAGTGGAGAAGCTGCTGTTCCGTCGGAGGTGCCAACCATGATGAACCTGCCGAAAACCAGGAAGGAAACAACGGCGAGATGACGGCGGCGCCAACGAAGGAGGAAAAAGAAGGACCTGAAGAAGCAAAGCCGGAGTTTCTCGCAGCCTTGCCGTTTTCAATTCATCCTAAATCCGAAAACCCGCGAAAGATTTTGCCGCTCTTTGGGGTCATTTTTTGGCCAAGCAAGTGCCAAGCAAGTGCCAAGCAAGTGCCAAGCATCTACAGCGAAACACCACGACCTTTCCTTCCGAGTGTTCATCCATCTCATCCACTGATAGCTAGTTTGATAGATTGTTACTGTACTGAACCATCGAATCGAAAACAAATCAACATGTCCTGGACCCTTCAAAGCTGTTGCGATACCCGAGAAATTATCTTCTTGTGCTGTTATGGCGGGTATGCTCTGTTTACGCTCTTGTTCGAAAAGACATCGCTGCTGAAGCCGATGCGGTTGCTGGGAACGTTCATTCATGAAATGGGTCACGCATCGGCTTGCTGGATGACGGGAGGCAGTGTCAAGAAGATTGAAGTCTACAACAATGAAGGTGGTGTGACGGGATACACGGGTGGTGTCCGATTCATTGTCATTCCAGCTGGATACGTGGGATGTGCCTTTTGGGGTGGATGCTTTGTCGCTCTCAGTGGTCATCGCATCGGTGCTACTGTAGTAGCCAGTATCATTACAGCGGCGCTGCTCGTTTCTCTATGGTGAGTGTTGGATACTCATATATTATTGATTTGGTTTGGGGTATCCAAAGAAGACAAAAAATACCATCTGTCTCAAAACTTGTGTTCTTTCTGATGAACTATCTACAGCTACAAACCCAACACCGTGGTGGTGGTCATTACTCTCTTTTTCTCGGCCATCAATCTCACATTGCTCTTCATTGAGTGGTATGTGTTCCATCCTATTCTAGAATTTGTGGCACTCTTTTACGGGGTCTTTATTGGATGGCATGCGGTGAGTAGACCTACTCTGTTCGTTTGGTTTTGGGGTTTTCTTGCTTTTGCGTCTCTCAATAACCCTTTGGTCGCTCACGTATTATTGTTTCGTTTGCCTAGGTCCGCGATATCTACGACGATTTGATTGTTCGAACAGCCGAAGGGAGTGATGCCGTTGCCTGTCATCAACTCATCCCATGCTGTATGCCTCGATGCGTGGGAGTACAATTTTGGCTCGTAGCCTTTGCTTTCCAGATTGCGGGACTTTACTTTGCCCTCGTATGGCTGACTAGTCAGTAAAAATGAGGTCGAAAGAATAACCAAACAATCCGCCTACCACAACCTCGTATGGGCGGAATCGAATCGAGTGACAGTCATTCTTCCGAATCCGTTGCACACTGTGGGCACAATTCAAGATCCCATACCTTCCACATGCAAATTAACCTCTCCAAGCAACGCAGTGAACGAAAACATAATGTACATCCGTAATGATAGCAAAACAACAAACAAATGCGCACCGTACCTTCCTTGCCGTCCCCGCCGATTTTTGAGTTGTACGGCATGGAAGTTTCATTCGCCTGTCGTGTTTTGACGGTCGTCATCGAATCAATCACCATGTATGACATTGAGAATCCGCCGAAAACCTACACGCCCCAGTTCGCCTCGATCTCTGTTGAACTTTTGGAATCGAATCAAAGCGTGCCGACATCCCATGTTAGGGAGACCCGCTGGATCGAATGATTCAACCATTCTTTTCGTGAACTATTCAGATTGCGGATACCCAGACAACTACGGTAGTTAGCATAAGCCCCCCCCCCAAGAAGCAGCAATCAGCTACTTCGTACCAAAGCACGGATGTCGGCCTCTGCATCATTTATTTCTACACCCAAGCTCGAACAGCCATGAATTTTTTGATTTGGCTGGAGGGTGTGGTAAGTAAAAACCGGGACTCGATTTATTTAAAGGTGGTGGAATCAGAGGCTTAGGTGCATGTTTGGATCTTCGAAATGGATCTCTGTGAAGTTGCAAGATCCACCCAAAGATACGACCTCACTTTCAAAGAATCACAAAACCTGTGACTACAACAACGAAAGAAAGGTAGACAATACTAACCCTCAATCCTCAACAAAACATCCCGTCCACCATGAAGTTGTTCAATTCCAAAGTTTTGGCGGCCAGTGCAGAAGGTAGTGGTCTTGGTTTTGGTTGCATGGGTATCTCTGCCTTTTATGGGGCGGCAATGGAAGATGCCAAGGCCATAGAACTTCTGAAGGGTGTCTACGATGGTGGATGTCGCCACTTTGACACGGCCGAAGTGTACCGAATGGAAGGTTCCAAGCCCAATGAAACCATTATTGGAGAATTCCTACAGACGGTACCAAGGGACAGCTATTCGATTGCCACCAAGTATTGGCCCGGACACGACAATCCAAATGTTTACGAGTACGACGATGTCAAGGCCCATTTGAAATCTTCCTTGGAACGACTCCAGTTGGAATATGTAGATCTCTACTATGCTCACCGTGTGTTCTCGGTGGAAGGAGGCATTAAATTTGCCAAGGCATGCCAAAAGCTCAAAGAAGAAGGCCTCATCAAGGAAGCCGGCCTTTCCGAAGTGAGTGGCAAATGGCTCAAACAGATCCACCAAGAAGGAGGGACCATTGATGCTGTCCAGCAAGAATGGAGCTTGATGACTCGTTCCTTGGAAGAGGAAATGGTCCCTGTCTGTAAGGAGCTTGGAATTGCCATTGTCGCCTACAGCCCACTCAGTCGCAACATGCTGGCCAAAAAGACCGAGGTTCTGGCCGACAAGACTGATTTTCGTGCCAACTTGCCTCGCTATTCCAAAGAGAATATTGACAATAACAATCAAATTGTGGAAAAGGTACAGGAATTGGGCAAAAAGCACAATGCCAGTGCTGCCCAGGTATCGTTGGCATGGCTCTTTCACAAGGCAGAAGAGTTGGGTGTTGCTGTGATTCCCATTCCTGGTACGACCAAGATCAAGAATGCCACAGACAACTTTGGCTCTGTCAAGGTCAAATTGACGGATGAAGACTGCACAGAATTGGAAACTTTGGCTGGCAAGGTTGCTGGTGAACGTTATCAGGAATCATTCATGGGCAACAATATGAGCATTGAGAGTCAGAAATAGATATGGCGAATGAAGTGTAACTGCGGTGGAGAGAGGAAACTGAACTTTGATACATACATGTCACAGTTAGAGAAACAAACATGCCCTTTGAGTTGTGTGGTTGCGAAGGAAAGGCGCATTATGATCCCAGTGCTGGTTGATCCAAACCGTAGCTTTGTCTCCTTCAAAAGCTTAATTAAAATAGTTTAAACGATAGAGTCCTCAGCCCTCTTGCTAGCTTGAAATCTTTGAGCCAGTGTCATGTTAAGCTCGATCGAGGCGAGCAATCGCAGACTAGTTGCGTTGGATCACCGCGCAGCCCCATGGATGGCAGAGAGCCCGGTTCGGCACCTTTTCGTCCTTTCCAGTCAAACTGAGATTGGTGTTGCCAGCCAGCTGCCATCCCATCACAATGGTTCGAGGTGAGATGTTGCCGTGGTTTTGCCAATTTTCATTGAAGATATCCCATGAACTTCATTCCATCAAGGTGGGCATCTTTCTGACAATCCGCTTGGTCTCAGATTGGATTGGAGGTACGGTACCAGTTGATTGGGTTCCTGTAGGCAAAACATGGCATACGATGCCGCCTCATCTTACATCAAGCTCACCTAGCTAGCAGCCTTGACCAAAATTAGGACCTGTTCGAATGAGAATATACACGTACTGAATTTGCGACATTTTCATGTTGTCGGTTGTGTACCGCGGATCTTTGTGTTGGCCATCGGTGGCTCCGTCGTATAAAGCAGACACCAACAAGATTCGATTCCATAAAACCATCGATCTAAATTTAACCATTCAAATATGAATCCCAGCCAAGTCACACAAGTGGACTTTTCCTGCCTATTGTAGTAGACTGAAGAAGACAGTTGGGGTGACTCCCTGGTTGTGTAGTAGAAATAGTTGTAGTGGGAGGATGGATTGTGTGTGGATGCCGGATCAACCGCAGAATGAAAATTAATCGACCACCATGGCTCTATGAAAATAATGCTTAAGCACGGTGGGATCCCGACATTCTGTGAGAGCGGGTCATGCGTCGTTGGAACTGAGCCTGAGTTTCAACTCCCTTTAGTCGGTTGGCCTTGGCACGCTGGGCTTGTCCAGGAGACATTCCAGTGAAAGCCTTGTTGAGCTTGGATTTTTCATCAGCGGCTTTCTTTTCCAATCCCTGAACCACGCTGGGATATTTCTCACAAGCCTTGGGGAGCTGGCTCGTGTTATTCAATGTCTTCGCCAAATTCTGGCAGTACTCCATCGACTTGGCACTGTCATCTGGTAGATCATAAAGAGAGACAATGGAGGTGTGAGTGTGGGAGGTAGCATACACAAATAAATACAACACTCTGAACTCAAACGATGTTTCTTGTGACGCTGCCTTTCCATGCTCTCCCTTCCATCTTGTCATCACCACACGACAAGGTAAAGGTCATGATCACCGGTATCTTCCCATCAAACATCAGAACCAAGGCACACGGCATGGACCTTCAACAGCAAAACAACATGATGTAGACTCACCACCAACATCAAAGGAAAGCACTTCATCATTGCGGGCGGAGAGACGGCGTGCACCTTTGAAAGAGTCTGCAACAGTCATGGTGATGGAATCAGTCTGATAGAAAGAATGTAAGTAGAAATGGGATAAGGCAAGAAGCAAGATGCTTTGGGTTCTTGTGATGCTTGATGATGCCTCTTAAAAAAGTTAACCTCTCTTGAAGACGGTTCGGGGCCTCAACAACCAATTGATACTACTGCTGTAGAAATGAGCCTTAACCTTTTGTCTTGCAGTGAATCACGAATCGAATCGATTCGAATCTTCCCCCTTCTTCCAACGGCGAAGAGCGACAAGTCCACCCAAAGAGAACGGAGAGATGACGATATTGTTGAACTGTCAGGTCGGTGCTATGATATGAGCAGTGTGACATCGTTTCTGACAGCAATCTATGTGTGTGCTACAAGATGCTGAAGTCTATCCCTGGAAGCAGCCGAGCAGTGGAGATGTCATTATAAATTTTGCACTGAATCACCCAATGCTGTTCCGACCCTGCATGGTCTTGTCTCTGGCCATCATGATTCTGAACCATACATTCTACCAGTCTAGCTGGAACTGTTCTCTTTCCAGCATTTCCGGGCTTCACCCTGACATCAGCAAGCGCGAGATCTTGACCCACATCTTGAGATTATGCGAAGAAGACCCAACTGTTACGCATTGCGTGCGTGGGATCCCACGTCCAAAGGCTGCACGGCTGCCACCAAGTAGGTACTCGAGGTATAGCTTTTGTTTCCGTCTGGGCGTTCCAGTTTGTCTTGGTATGGGATGACTTTTCTCCTCCTTGTCCTGGTCGGTCAAACGGGTTTCTGGTGCCGTCCAACATAAGCAGTCACATTGCCGACAAATGGCACCGTGCCGGGGATGTGGTGAAAGGGACCATGTTGGGGATTGCTTGTGTCCTTGTATACTATCATTCACTCTTTCTTGGTGTCCTCTTGAAGTGAGCCGGAACTTCTCATGTTGAATTGGCCATCCAAAAGAAGCACCTGTAGACAACATGACTTTGAAAATTCCATTCCTGTAGCTTCACCAATGCAGTAGCCGAAATCCAAAAGTACAACCACTGCTCACAGGAGTTACGTAGGTAACACCAGACACCCTTGCGGTCATTTACAATGAAAACGATGCTTCATGCGTGTACCGCAGCTCCAAGCTCTCCATCATTCTGCGCAGCATCCTCGCATTGGCTTGTTCCAAAGTGGGCACAAGAAATGTTTCGGAAAGATGGCCCTCCATTTGGTAACCCACTTTGAAACTTTTTCGAAGTTTTTCTGGAAGGATCTTCCTCAGAATGGAAGCACAGATGTTCATCATGGTTCCCGTGTTGAAATGTCTGCATTCCCCATCAAAAGGATAGTGGGTCAGAAACTCTGAAAAGAATCTGCCAAAAAGCTTGCTAACATCTCTTCTCAAGTCCATTTTCTCACATTCTGCAACACAAATGATCCCTTTGCGGATGGATTCAAAATCTGGAAAGAAGAGGATATGGGAGTAGTACATCGCGGTCAACCAATCCTCTTGTAATTTCGCTGTCGTCAGCTTTTTTGGTTCAAACTTTGTAATATCATGCACAAACATGTAGGTGCCATCTTGCTCACTGAATCCAAAGAACAAGAACTCCTCTGGGAACAGTTGGAAGACCAATTCCATCACCCGACATCCTTGTTTGTATTGATTCTCAATCTTGTACTCATGCTGAAAATCCTGCATTGCATAGCATCTATTGACGGCATCTTCGACATGCTCCTTACAGATAATGGCAAGCTGGGCATACATAAAATCTGTCAGATTATCAATATCTGGCATTCCCTCAATCTGTTCCTTGATGGCAAGAGCATTCTCCTGCTCTTCCGGAGTTAGCTTCATTCGATCTGGGTTTTCACGGCCCAGGTTTTCGTGAAGGTCTGCGGGATCCCGAAAGACAGCCGGTAGCTCTCTACTACAAGTACTCTCATTATTGTTCGACAACTGCATTGGCACCACAACATGCTGTGAACGATTCTGATCATTCATGGCCATGGCGTCGTAGAAGGATGGGCGATTTTTAACAAAGAGAGAGAGCAGACGAAGACAGGCCCGTCGACAAGACAATGGACAATGGGAAGAGAGCGAGAGCTGCGTTGAGGTGCTGAAGAGTGAAGAGGGTTTGCTTAGTCGATCGTGGGAACACAGACGAACACACTTCGTGAAAAGACCAAAAGACAACACACAAATACTTTAAAAAACCGGTACTCCTAAGTCATTGGTCACATCCCCAAACGCCGTAAAAGAGCCTCTTCGGACAAACCATGAGGAGTACTTCAGCAGCCTAGTGGGCTTCTAAAGTACCTGGTACCGCGGTCGCACAGAAACCTCACAGCTTTGATCATCAAAGCAAAACTAAATGGAGGCGGTCACGATGATGAAGCCGCCACAAGAGCATGAAGAAGATCCATCTCTGCTTCCTGTTTTTGGTTGTAGTAGTGCCCTTGTATCAGAGCCAAAAGGGTCTTGTTCCCCCGGGGGTTCAAGAAGTCGCCACCTCGGGAAACAACGCCACGGCATCAGGAGGATTGTTCTTTTGCGGTTGGATCCAATGGCAGATAGCACAAGAAATCTTTCCGGACTACGCTGTAAACGTTATGGAAGGATACGATGAAGACCATCGCAAGGAACTGGTTGCCATAGAGCTGCACAAGGGTCAGGAGAACGCAAGGGTACCAACTGAGAACGATATTTTGGTGGTGGGGATGTTTGGACCATGTTCCGCTCCCATGGAAGCTTTTCCTGGCAAAGTGCTCTTTGTAAATGGCGAAAATCGACGCAAGGACATGACCCAGAAACTGAACCAAGGCCAAAGCAGTAACAGAGCCTTTCAAATTGGAATGGTTCGGGATAACCCCGAAGGAGGCAAGCTTAAGGTCTACTTTATGGCCATGGCCTTGCTGTCGCTGCCGCCCACAATGTGGAGACAACACGGACGGTTCTTGCAGCATTTGACGCAACCCAAACCGACCAATACCCAAAAGTATCCCGGCGTCATTTACATGCATGGAAATTGCAAACCCTATCGAGAACGAGCCATTCGACAAATCTCCCACATTCTGCCCATTTATCATTCGGCCACAAAATGCAATGGAACAACGCTAGGACAACCCACAACAACCGAGGACTACAACCCAAACAACTTTTCCCCCGTCCAAGATCCTCCCACTGCAACAACAACTGGAATGACCTTTTGGATGTTCAATCACAATCTCTTTCATGACTACCAGTTCTGCCTTTGCATGGAAAACATGCATCGTCCTTTGTACATTACCGAAAAGATCTTGACGGGGTTCCTTGCGGGATGCATCCCCATTTATTATGGCACGACCGAGATTTTTCGCATTTTCAACCCCAAGGCATTTGTCTATTACGATATTGACAATGCTCAGCCAGCATTGGATCAATTGGCGTATCTGATCCACAACAAAACCGCCTATGACGAAATGTTGTACCAACAACCCATTCTGCTCCATGGGCAAGAGACAATTGACGAGTATTTTGCCCTATGGGATGGAGGAGCACTCCAAAGGAAACTGAGAGACATGATGGGGTTGTGATGAAGAAGTTTTTTAACCTCTCTCTTTGGGGGGTCAGGATAAAAACAACAACAAGGCTTTCAACGCACTTCAGCTGAAAACTCCGTTACAAAACCATTCTGAAGCCGTCTGCTTGGCATCCACATATCGTGGATTCAAAGCATCACTGAAGGTACTTCAAACCCTTTTTCTGCAGAGACACCGCTGAATACATTGGAGACAAGTGCGATGATTGGTCGTTTCGGGTGACTCAGTCCTCATGAGGGAAAGATGGTGCTCTACTGTATGCAAAGTACAATTGACACCTTGCTCGATCCGGCGATAAATTGAGAGAAAATCCTCGCCATGTGCGAAAGAAAAGTGGTTTCGTCGAAATAACACCTTCTGGGTTGGACACTGACGGTGGGATTTTAGATCGTTGGACCATACGATGCTTAAAATTTAGATCATCAGTGATCATACGATGGAAGAAATATGTTTCGAATGACTAAGTGCAATACATTTCGAAATTATTCTCTTGATGACAGCCAAGCAGCCACCGGGACGCTTACATGCGGTTTTCCGATGCTCCCACCGCTCCAGAGATAGCAATTTGCCATGAAGAGGGGCTCTGCGAAGGCAAGGCACTCGATCGAAGTTGTCTCGGCAGCTTCGTGGACGACCAGCACGAACACCAGGCCGCCGCAAGGTCATTTCTTCACCTTGACCCACAACTTGATTTGGGGCATACTGGGGCAGCGGGTGCCACGAATCGTTAATCAAACGTAACGACTTGGATTCTAGGACCGCGACCCGAACGAGGTTTCTCTTGAGAACCCTCAAGGCTCCTGGTACTATCACGGACATTGTTCGACTCTGCTTCTGCGCTCTCCCTGGCTCCTTCCACTGTGTCCCCCGACTCAAGCTGATTGTTAGAGGGCGGTCCGCCTTTATTGGAGTTCCTTTTCATTCGTTGCACCATCACAATCTTAGGCACGAGTATGAGACCCATCGTCGACATTGGAAATGTCCATATGAGCAGCGTGTAGCAGAAGAATCTCGCATCTGTTGACACGTCGTTGAGGAGAGCCACAACAGGTGCGGCCACCACCAGAACCTAGTAGAAGTTGCGGAACATAAATTGTCAGTGGGCATGGTGACTGAATCGTCAGCCAAAACAGGGCCCGTGATGTCTCGATGATCTGCACCTGCTTACCTGTATCTGAACCAGTATAAACGCAAGTACCCATTTCGACTCGGAATAAAGATCGTCCACACCACTTGTCTTCCACGCCATGACGCCTGCCATGATGGCCGGAATGAAATGCAGAATGTAGATCACAGCTATCAAGAAAGACGCGTCGCCTATAACGCATCGCCCCTGTTGAAAGAAACAGAAACCACACGTGAGGACCCAGAGTTATCGTTATTCTCACAGAAACAAAATCAGTAGACGATCTCACAATGCTATCTCCGGTTGTCTCGTCCAAAGTCGATCGCTCCCATCCGTGTCCATCGCCAGCAGTCAGGATGGACAGCAAGATGATGACTGTGCCGATCAGCAGAACGCTGGGCCACATGACCCTCCAAAAATTCACTTGGCTTGTGTTGTATCTCATGCATCGGTTGACGCGCCACAGCTGCAGCCAACAGCAGAGGGTTAGCTTGGCCGACGAATCCAAGGAGGCACAGAAGAGAACCGGTCAATCACACCTACCTTTGTGAAAAGAGCACTGAAGGCAATCATGTGTCCCAAAGAATCGATCCAAATATTCGCGGTGCACATCCTATCGAGCATCTCTTGCGTCCAACCATAGCTTTCGTCGTAGGAGTACATCAGGATAGCGAGCGCCATCATGGTTGAACCCAGACACAGAGCATAAAGCAAGCTGGGCTGGGCTGCAATGACCACGCTGTGATGGCGATGTACAAACACCCAAAGGGCACACGAAAAGACAAAGACCAGAGCAACCGACATCAATGCGAGCCCAGCCGCTCGGAACGAAGGGCTCAGATAGTTCATGTCCGGATCGTCTCTCAGCTTGGGTGGGTTCGTCGTTCCATCTGCGTAGACGAATGGAGTGTTTTGGATCCAATCGCTACTTCGTGGATCCCAAGATTCCGTGTTGACGAACAAAGACCTGGCCACGAGACGACGGGTGAGGAATGAGTTTGTTGTGAGAGAAAGCAGGGGAGCATATTTTGACTCACCCGTTGTTCCCATGAGGAATCAAGTTTGCTATAGCAAATGGCACTGTGTTGGCACCTCGACTCCCGGGTTTTCCGGGTTGGCCGAAATTAATGTCCCCCGAAGCGCCATGAAACCGGACCGATCTGATTCCTTTTAGATGCATTTCACCTGTCATTGTAGTTTCGTTCGTTCCCCTTTGGGCAAGCGCCTTGCAAGCACCCATGCCGATGGATATCACAGCGTCAAACATGAATGACGTGCCCTGCGAACAGACATCTCCTGTTAGTTAGTGCCGCTTCAAGGAGATAAACCACGATGACAACAGTATCGAACATACCCTCATCCAACTGTTTGAGCTCTGTACAATCTTCTGAATGGGAAACGCATCACTCGAAGCATTTTCACCAAAGTCGATTGAAACAGGGTTCAATCTCTGGACCCTATCAAAGAAGGGCCTTCGTTGATGCTGGAGCACAGTGTCTGAAAAGTCGAGATGTTGCGTGTCATCCACGGTATAAGCATACGCCGAACCTTTCAAGAACGTCGCGTTGAGATCAAAGCTACGACGTATGTAATCATGGATTTCCATGGACGTCAGCTCTGCCACTCCTCCACTCATGAGCCAAAAGTGGCCTCCCTGATCCATCTCAAGATCCATGGCATGTTTTCCAATGATGGGAGTGTCCATCTCCAGTTGAGAGGGCAATAGAATGATGGTTCTATACCCTGTTTCTATGATCCCTTCCAAAGCATTGCGGACACTTCTATCCGCTTTTCTCTCGTTACCATCTGCCTTGTAGCCAAAAATCCTGACTTGATCAAAGCCATCCACCTCTAAGACCGTTTGGAGAATGTCCACCTTTTGTACCTCACCGGGAGTGGAACTGTACAAAATGGCAATGTAGTTGTCTCGTTCAATATATCGCAAGTAATTGGAAATGAATTGCATCTCACTGTAAAAATCGGCCGATACCTGAGAATAGTAGGGATGCCGTTGCGGATCCAGCAAATTGCTGTCAAAGGCTCGATGCGCCACAATGGGTGCCTTCATGCCCGTGGCCATGACGCTGAGCTCCAATGCCGGGATTTCATTGTAGGGTCCTGCAATGGAGTCTACGGGTCCCATTTCTTGCAACTGTTCCACCACATATTCCATGGCCTGATGGCTGTTGGTGCCCGTGTCGACTGCCACGACATTGCCAAATTGAATGCCACATTCTTGTAGCTCTCCCAATTCGCGGACAATGGAGTCATTTCGAGTATTGAAATGATCCACTGCCAGTAACGCGGCTGCCATGTGGAACCATCCTGGATCGAGGACCGTCTGGTTGCTACATGTAGCAGAGAGGAACAGCAAGAATGTGAGCGGAACCTTACTCTCTGGGAGTATTGCTCTCATATCATAAAAGCAACTTACTTTTTCGACAATGGCACAGCTATAAGCAATGAAAAAGTACCGTCTTGGCCTCTTATTCTACCCGTCACATATGTGAGCAACAGCAGGAAACAAGACAGCAGTAACGGCAGGGCTCGCCCATTTTGCGTCGGAAACATTGCCAGAAAATTTCTTCCCACAGATCAAGACGTTGATGATATCGATACTCCTCAACTGGGAACTTTCTATATCCGGATACCGGATATCTCTAAAGCTGGCTAGTAGCTACTAGGCAAAAACTCGATCAATAGCCAAGTCTACAGCCGTCGAAGCACCGCTGCTTCTTCAAAATTGAGAGTTTCTTCAAAATTGGTTTTGTCATCGTCTTCGCCTCTTCGCCTCGAAGCGCCTTGGGAACGATCGTGTGAACTTTTCGGGAAACAACTTACAGTAAGGTTAAGGTCACTTTTACCAGAAAGAAGAGCGCTGATTTGGTTAACCTTAGTTCTATAACTGTCGTTTTGGGTTAAGGACTAGCTAGCTCGACCCGATCCATCATTGTCGTTTTCTGGAAGCAAGGAAAAGAAATCATCATCATTGTTGTTACTATCTCTTTGGTTGGCTGAAGCAAGTACTAAATCGCAAATATAATTGGACCTACCTATGAGGAGAGATCGAGGTGTTAACCATGCTCGTTTTCCGGAGCAGCTTATTGTTGTTGGCGGTATTCTGCATCCTAATACTTGACGGAACGGCTTCGATTGGGGTCAACCTCTCTCTGTTGGTAGCAGTACCTCTTACCAATGAGTGAGTTTCCTGCTGTTCTTCTTGCTTACTTGCTTTAGGAGAGCCATTGTGTCTTATGATCTTTTTCTTTGATTCTTTCTCGGTAGCAACTTCCCAGTACCCGACCCTGGTTGGATCCAGTTGGCGTCGGCGCTCCTGGCCGTGGATCATTTCAATGCGCGAGATTCTTCGGTAGTAGCGGAACTGAAGCAGTATGAGTCCTGTCCCATTCGCTTTGACACCAATAATATCACCGTCATGGATACGGGGACCCACTTGACGCTTCCCAAATTGGCACCTCTCGAATCCTTGGATGCCATTGCCGGTCCGTTTCATGAAATGCCGGCATTGGAGCTCAGCGTCATTGCCAATACCTTGGAGATTCCCATTGTAGCGCACAAAGCATTTGACAATTCACTCGCCAATCGGTTTCCCTACTTTTCCCAGGTCTCTGCCGACTCGTCGGCTGAAATGGCCTTTCTGGTAAGGTATCTGGAACATGTGGGACGCACCAACTACATTGCCGTGCTCTACTCCAGTACCAGTGCGAGTGCCATGCAAAAGGTGGATATCTTACGAGTCCTCTTATTGGGAATGGATCACGTACGAACCTTTCCATACCGTTCCAAGTCGACAACAACAACGGCTAGAAACAGTGGTCTTGCCGATTCCTCCGTCCGTCATGCCTTGGAACGGGTCTTGGAGACGGGCTTTCGGACCATTGTATGGATCTCGGATGATATGAAATGGGATGCCATGGATGTTCACGAGGCAGCATCCGATTTGGAGTTGGATCAGGGCCGGCATTTGTGGATCGTCATGGGTGGTGTCTCGGAACTCTCGTGCTACGACCAAATGCAACTGTTGAACCACAGCCATGCCACCTTTGGACGACGCCACTATTATCTCAATGGGGCGGCCTTTTTGAATCCTCACGATGCCTTTGCGATTGGTGGAGGCCAAAAGTTTCAAACGGCATTCTTTCAACAAAACCATAGCTTTGTGGAACGATTGGAGGCGCTCACACCCATCCAAGACTACTACAATGCATGGTCTCACAATGCAAATGACAACAATACACAAGAAGTGACTTTGGCCACAATCTTGCACCAAATACAGAGTTGGTGGGTGGGCAGTGCGTACCTGTATGATGCAGTGATGGCCATTGGCATTGGAGCTTGCGAGGCTGCAGCAGCCGTTCCCAGCAATACTTCCATCAAGGGCGAGCTCCACCTCCAAGGCATTCGCTCGGTCAACTTTACGGGGCG